TGAATTGAATATATAAACATATAAAGTTTAACTAAATAAAACAAATATGACATGGATTACTGTCATTTGGAACATCAGTTGATTTACTTAGTAAAAAGAGTTGTTGCAATGTAGAGCTACAAATGTATAACGTATATAAAATGTTATATGAATATTTTGAATCTTTGAAAACAAGTATGTGTCACATCAAGATTTGAATTTTAACTACAGGCTTAAAGCATAGTAAGTGCATTAAGCATTGAATAATTAAATTTTAATCCTAATTCAATAGGATAAATGTAATGAGAATGATAATTTATACTTTATGTATGGTCTAAGTAATTGTAATTTGAATCCGATAATTCAAATATAAATCGGACTCGAATATGATATATCCTAATCCTATAGGTGAATATAATCTGATGGTGGATCTACTAGCGAGTTATCGCATAAGCACTCGTCCTCAAGACCAAGAGAGTCAACAATATCTTCCCTTGTCCAACCCCCACGCAACAACACCATAGACAGCAACCTCACGCGCCACCCCACACCTGCCTCATCCTCGCTGTCCCCCATCACGTGGGGCCCACTCTTCTCAATCTTCCCATCACAGCCGTCCATCATCATCATCTCCCTAACCTCCTCCTCCCCCCAACCGCCCTCCCTCAACCTCCAAAACACCTCCTCCAAACACCCACCCAAGCACTCATCCCCACTCCACCAACCACGCGTCTCCACACGCGCCACCACCTCGCTCCAAAAATCAATCCACCGCGTCGTCTTGGGGGCCCATACGGGCACGTGTGCGAACCCAAACTCTTGACAAAAAAACCGGGTGACGTCACAGCTCAGAACCGTAACGTTCTCCGCGTCAACGTACAAAACCGGATTTCCCGCCACGCTCGGCCTCGACGGAACATAGCAGTTCCGGTGCACCGGTACGAGAACCGGCGCTTTCACCAGCAGCTGCTTGGCCACGTCAGCATGATCGTGATCGCCTGGAGGGGGCTTGGGGCCCCACGACTGGCACCAGAGGCTTCCGACAGAGACTCGCCGAAGGAGGCTGAGGGACGGGAGGCTGAGGAGGATGCTGAGCTGCTGGAGGGAGGAGGAACGCCAGTTAGGGAAAGTGGGGCCCACGGGGAGGCCTTCCTGGAGAATGGCGCGGAGGTCGGGCGGGAAGGCGAAGTCGAAGGTGGCTTCGATGGAGGCGAGCTCTGGGTCGGTGAGGCCTTGCTCGACTGGGATGTTGAGAGGTGAAGATTTGAGGTGGTTTATGAGGGACTTGGCGTAGGCGGCGAAGGAGAAGCAGACGAGGGGCTTTTTGGTAGTTGTGGTCACTGTGGAGTTGGGTTTTGGGGGCTTGCTGTGGGTGTGGTTGTTGGTTGTTGTTGGTGCCATTAAATTGGGATAATATTTTGATGGCGGTGATGAAGATCTGAGATGGGTTATTATTATTATTATTATTTTGATTTTAGTTTAATTTGACCTGGTTTGGCGGTCCAGGTTGGGAAGAGGAAGAAGAAAGTGGGAAAGAAGCATTTTGTGATGACCAACTGTTTGACGAAAGAGCCAGAGGAGGAGGAAGCGAATACAATCCGTGTGAGAAAAGGCGAGGAACATAACAAGTGAAAATGAGAGAGTTTTGACAGTTCTTGGCAGAATATATATCAGAATCAGGACTCACGTGTTAGTTTCGTCGACACTCTTTATGTAATGCAAAATCATTTCTTCTGTGTGTGAACATAGAATAATTTGAGCGACTGTTGTTAGCACAGCTTGTTCGAATTATGATTTTTATGATTACAAAATTCTATCTAATTATTCTATGCAAATTAATCCAATTCAAATAGCTTGGTTATTTACTTTTGTAGAGTGAATTGCATCTCCAATTTGTTACTTTCCTGCTTCTTTGGTCCCCTAGATAAAACTATAAAATTTGTAAGCAATCTAAGGGTAGATTTTGATGGAATGGTTTGGATGTTGACAACAAGGCTATATTAGTTAAGGAAATAAATCATCAAGCACTGAATACAATGTATTTAAATTGAATTTGAGATAACTATATGCAATGTAACATTTTGAATCACTTAAAATGAGTAAATGCAATGGACCATTTGAAATCCACTTGTTTTACTTTTAAATTTAACAAAAGTTGACTACGAGTTGGTCCTTCCTTTAGATTGGTTGTTCCTCACCCTAGAACGAGATGTGAACGTTTGCTCTGACGATGAACAAATATTACTCCCTCAAAAAGATCTTTTGAAATTTTTATGTATTTCTTTTTCTTGGCTGGGTATACATTCAAAGCATGTTACACCCAAGAGATCGGGACTGTTTAGTTATAATACATTCAAAGCATATTACACCCAAAATCTAGGTGATCAATTAATTTTGAAATCGCAGATGCCCAACTAGTGTAGTGGTAAGGAGCTTTGTTTCCACTCAGCTGGTCCTGAGTTCAAGGGCTGGCATTCTGGCTATTGGCAACAACAAAAAATCTTGAAATCAATTATTTTATGATGAAAAAAAATCACATCCTTTTCACGAAAGCAAAATACATAAGGTCTTCAGTGTAACGTGACAAATTCTCCCTTTGACTTGAGTGTTGAACCCATTTTCAAACTGCGGCCAGATTTTATGCTAAATATATTCGTTATGAATGAATACCTTCTAGACTGCTGGACCTTAACACGTACATACGACGTATTTGCATTTGTCGTATCGTGCGGCAATATCAACTATCTCTTATTCTATGTATAATATATACACATCAAAAGAAGACTTCTCCACTTTGGCCAACACTTTACTCCTTACGGGCCGACCCGGTGTGAGTGGGGATTAGTTTGGGTTGTGGTTAAGGCTTAAAGGTGCCACCCATAATTAGGGCCCATCCAAGACCATCTCATGATTCAGACCAAAAAAAAAAAAAGAAAACTTCAGTATTTTTACCCAAAAAAAGAAGAATTTAAAACCCAGCAAGCATCAGCCCAAGTAATGATTGTCTCTCCCTGCTTTAACCAAGCAAATCTTGTCAGGGACAATAATGCATGTTCTAATTCATTCTTTATCACATATAATCCATCATGTATTGCATTTCTGTAATAAAGAATAGCCTGTCATAGAGAATTGATGAAGAAAGACAACAGGGAGTTTCATAACAGAACTGAATGCCTGAATTAGATAGAGTTCCACATATACATATACTTCGAGAGACTTCAATCTCTAGTTTTATAGATTTTCCATGATTAAATCATCCTGCTCCCCTAGCTAAAAGGCTTATTGGCCATGACGTGCACTGTGCACAATCCACAGTTTCTTTAAAACCCAGCATCAGCCCAAGTAATGATTGTCTCTCCCTGCTTTAACCAAGCAAATCTTGTCAGGTACAATAATGCATGTTCTAATTCATTCTTTATCACATATAGTCCATCATGTATTGCATTTCTGTAATAAAGAATAGCCTGTCATAGAGAATTGATGAAGAAAGACAACAGGGAGTTTCATAACAGAACTGAATGCCTGAATTAGATAGAGTTCCACATATACATATACTTGGAGAGACTTCAATCTCTAGTTTTATAGATTTTCCATGATTAAATCATCCTGCTCCCCTAGCTACAAAATTTGGGCTAACATTTCTCTGCTTAGAAAGCAAGCCCTGTTGAGCAGAATTTTTCATCATCGTCCTCTACATCAAAATTCAATCATAACAAAGTCTTAATGCAGACTAGTGAAAGTAAGGATTCTATGACCAGTTAGGGCTGGTTCCTTCTCTACTACCATCCATGTTGTGGGCACTCTCATCTTTTGTTCGAGCAATTTCTTCTCCTTCTGAGCTGGAATCATCTCCCATATTTTCATCATTGTCGTCCTTTCCTGATCCTAATACAGCATCTTCAAGCTTTTCAGAAGCATCCTCTTCACTTACGAAGCTCCATCCAGGAATGATCTTTCCTCCTCTTCTGATAACACTACCACTGTTGTAGAAACCCTGAGAGCCTATATTTACCTCGTTTCTATCAGGTTCTGAGGAAATGCTAGAAGGCCACCCAATACTTGCAGTACCAATGGCACCCATATGAAGGGCCAAATTGGTTTTGGTGCTTGTCCCATTAGTTTGCTGAGAAGTGACGGAGTTGTTAGTTCTTAAGTAGTTACCCTTGTCATCATTACCTTTCATTTCTGAAGAGGCAGTATGCCCAATTCCATATATTTGGACATTGGGAAGGTCCTGCTGAAATTGATAGTGGAATTCAGGCATCATTGAATTGCTTCCGTTAACCTCCACCAAGCTGCCACCAGAATGTGTGACAACGTTTGAGATATTGTTTCCCTGCTCTGCAGCAGCTGTGGAGTGATATGCTTTTTCTTTATCTTCTACCTTGCTGAGGATAACCTTCTCAAAAACATATGGCTTCGTCTCAAACTGATGGACCTTGCATGCTGCAGGTTTTCTACCTCGAGTTCGGCGATGAGACTCACCAGGAGAAGGTAATGCATCAACTGAAGCAACTGACCTCTTTGGTCTCCCTCTTTTTGATGGTTGTCCAGATAAAACGGCCCCACTAACTTGAGCAGTGGGCTCTTCTGCTGCTGGTTTCAGAGAAGGCACTTCCGCTGCCTTTTTCAGAGAAGACACTTCTGCTTCAAGCCTCACCAAGTGATTTTTGTAATCCATTATTTCTGATTGCAAGTGATTAATTACATTCCATAGCTGGACATTTTCTGCAGACTATAACCTCAAAACCAGAAGAAGAAAAAACTCCGTTTATAATCATATTGACTAGATCACGAAATCATATTAAACGGGTTTAAGGAAAAAAGAAAAAGATTTGTACTTGAGCATCCCAAAGTTGCTGGTGCTTCTGAGAAAGTTTAGTTGGTGGCCTGATAATTCCTTTTTGAAAGGATTGTCCAAGGGGTGTGGTGCAACTAGGCGGTAATGCAGGTGGTGAAGGAAAGTAGCCTCCTGGAAAAGCATATGTGCATAGAGGTTGTTGTGCCTGAGCCTGACCCCACCAAGATGGATCACAAGGACCTGTGAACAGGAAAGCTCAACCGTTGTATGACTCAAATTTTAAGTGGTGGTTTGATATCTTTAAATATCAAACTGGAATTATGCATTAAGAAAATTTTGTCATGTGTATTGCATAGTTACTAAAGCTGTCACCACCTTCAACTAGTAGTCAAGAATGGCTTGATTATTTATCCAATCCCACATTGAAGATTATTATGTTCCAGATCAATCAGTTAAGCAAGATAAGATCATAACGTCCAAAAGAAGTATGTTACAATGCATAAAACAGAATAACAAAAGTTTTGCGTATACCTGGAAAGCCCGGATATGGGTACCCAACAGGGTAACAGAAATTAGGAACTTGAGCTTGATTTGTTGTTGAAGTTCCACCTCCAACAGCTGCAGGAGTTTGCCAACTAGTATCAGTACCTGCAAATGCAACGAATGATGGAAAAGTTGCCGCTGCATTCAATCCAGGCAACGTGTAACCAGCTCGCTGGGGTAGCCATAAGGGAGCAGCTGATTGGGAATAATTGCTTGGTGGCTGGCCTTGTGGGACCTGATGGTTAGAGGCATTCTGTTGTAGATGTGGAAATTGTGGCCATTGGTTTATAACTCCAGGCAACGGTGCTTGAGTTGCAATAAAGGGTCTAGGCATGAAAGGGGATTGTTCCACTCCATGCTGAGGCGTGTACGGCCATTGAAGAGTTGATGGGTATTGGTGATTTAGGGACGGTGCATTGCCGTTTGAAGGACTATCAGTTTTTGTACTCTCTGTAAAAAGTGTCACATTGGGCTGGCTTTGGTCCTCCTTGCTCTGTTCATAAACAGATTCACCATGTTAAGTTGTAGAAAATGAATTTAAGATAGTGTAATTCTTGTTCTTCTAAGTTAATAGCCTTGGTATCTCAAAGCATAACATCATACAGCACATTTGATCATCCAAAAAGTTAAGAAAATAGCTCAAATCTCTCAAGAACTCTTAGACAATGGAAGCTACTAAACAAGGTCAATTACAAATTAACAAAAAACAGAAGAAAAAGAAAGCTGCTCCACATAAATAATTCTATATGGGTTACTGTCAATTGCAGTAGATAACCTACACCTTAAACCCTGACAGAAGACAACAATTTTCGGTGTTATTCTTACTTAGGGCAAATGAACTCTACAAAGTTAGAGAAAACCCCAAAAGTGAAAAGAAAGAGTTGACAGTATAAAAAGTTTGGATTGAACCCAAAATAGAAAGGGTTTTGACAAAAGCTAGGACTGAAAATGAGAACGATGAAGAGGGTTTCATACCAAACTGTCATTTGCCTCTGGTTCTTGACCGGTGGCGCAAGCAACTTTGTGGTCCTTCTTCTTCTCCATGGCCTTCAAAGAAACAGTCTTTCTTTATTTGTTTTTACATTTAAAGGACACTCTTTGTCTTTGAGATTCTCAGAAGTCAGAAACTTCCCTACAGCAGCTAAAATATATGCAAGAAAGGCAAATAAAAAGTGCCCGAATGTCTTCAAACCCCAGAGAGAGAATATTGTGTGGAGGAATTTTTCACAGCCTTTTTCTGCTTCTTGTTCTGGTTCCAGACCTGTCCTATTGTATCTTGGACCAACTTTTTTTTTTTTTTAGCCCCAAATTAATACAATAATTATGCTCTGCACAAAAAATTAATTAAAAAAGATAAAAAACATTTGAGCAGCATTGGAAACCAGCAGGAGAACAGAGAGCCGCAGTTTTGAGACTTCCCTGTACTGTCATTGGCTTAATTTCCTTCTTAAAAAATTCAGAAATTATGGAATGAGAAAGTGGCAAGTTACAGAAAATGTCGTCGTTCCAAGAAGGAATAACAGAGCTCGTCATTTTCAATGAGTATTTGATTTACGATATTCAATTTCCCAAGAGTACCCATAGAGAAAAAAATAAAACGCTGAAAGAATCTCCCGCCAAAACACATAAAGGGGTACAATAAATTAACGAGTTAATAATGAAATATCCCGCAATTGATCCTTCAAAAATAGTTTTCAAACAGAGAATTGTGAGTCCAAATAATAGGAAAGTATAATTTTAGTGCATGGAAGACCACCCCCTCTAAAATCCTGCTCTGGTCAAATACCACCTTTTTCCAATGTCTCCTCTGATTATGTACCTGCACGTGTGCACTCAAAAGAAAACAATAACAATAAACAAATGCACAGATAAATTGATTAGGTTTTGGAATTCTTCTGGCTTCAATCAAATCCCTTGTTAAACAACATTCATATGATTGAGAAGTCTGTAGTTCAGGAACAAAGAAAACCAGATCAATGTTACTACATGCTTTTGAAAGCAAAATGATACCCCACATATATCATTTAAA